CTTTGATAATTGGGAATGTTTGAAACATTTATTATAATTCAAGTTAAGTCAGCATCAACTCTCTATTAAATAAACTCTTAGGCTAATTTTATAAACAGGCACACACAGGGGCTGTAAGGAGAGCTGCATCCATCAGTACAGCGCTTTCCTTGCAAGCACAAGCACCTAAGCCCAACCCCCAAACCACATAGAAGGCTAGCACAGTGGGGTGCTTGGGAGGCAGGCACAGCGGGAGCCCTGTGACACACTAGTGTAAGCTGTTCCTGAGGATGACATCCAAGGTTTCCCTCTGGCCTCCACACACACACACACACACACACACACACACTTACAAGAAGCAAATATAAAACTTCTCAGATGAGTTAGCTCCTAAGAAATGGCACCATGGCAACTGTTGTCAAGGTAAGTTCATTTAGGAAGAAATTTATTGTGGAAATATCTATTTAACAATCAAATTTTCCTTTTTGTCACTGACAAATTTTGCACTACATAAAATAAAAACCCAGTTGGACACATAGAAAGCATGTGGCAGCCATAAGTGACTGGTGGAGTCTAGGTCTGGGTCCCGACCCAGATGTCCTCTCTTACTTCCGTCGGAGACACGAGAAGATTGGAGGACAGACATCGTTGGAGGAGGAACCCGCGGCGGTCGTCTGTTTCTTGTGTAAGTGAATTCTCCCCAAATAAACCTTAATCAGCCTGTATTGTGTCCCAGAATCTTATTACCCACTTTAGTAATATATTAATATACAATTCATTCTAACCAGTTTTCAGTGAAATAAATCAAACTCCATGCATCTGAAAAAGCTTTTTTTGAAAGAAAACCTCTATGTGAATTGTCATTACTGTCAGTAACAGATGTGGTACTTTGAATGTAATTGGCCCTCATGAGCTCAAATTAAGTGACACTATTAAGAGCTGTGGCTTAAAAAATAAAAATAAAAAGAGGTGTGGCTTCGTTGGAGTAGGTTTCGACTTGGACAAAGTGTGTCACTGCAGGGTCAGGCTTTGAGGTTTCTTATGCTCAAGATACTACCACTGCCCTGGCTCCTGCTGAATGTGGGAGTAGCTGTTCTAGAAAGAAAAGCATGCCCTGCTACATCAGGGGACTAAGTAGAAAGAGAGATGCTGAGGGCAAACAGTCACAAGAAAGTCTGTCAGTTGTGTGGTGGCCCACACCTGTCACCCAGCACTTGAGAGGCTGAGGCAGAAAGAATGCTGTGAACTTGCCATGAGTTCTAGCACAGCCTGGGCTTGGGTAAGACCATCATTTAAAAACAAAACAAAACTGAAAAATTCGACTGAAGTTAACACACAAATGAAATAATGCTTCATAAAAACTGCTTTCATTTCTTCACTTCTGGTGAGTTGGAAACAATCACTTCCTCATTAAGTACACCATAATTACGCTGTGAGCATGTGAGTTACCCCTTGAAGGAGTAAAGGGCTGTGCTGTAGTTAACTTACCTTGAAGTGGCTTAAAGATGAAGTGGGTACATTTGTGTGTTAGACACAGAGAGTCAAATTTTTACATTGTTTTGTTTTTTAGAAGTTTTCTAATGTGCAAACTGGTTTTCAAACAGAAGGTTTCTTTTTTTAAATAAGAAGGAAGGAGATAAAATTTATATCTGCAAATGTTGATCGACCCAGAAGATGGGTTGTGGATAGATGGAAATTCATTCTACCACTCTCTACGTCTGTACATCTTTGAAACGGCACAAAAATAAAACACACACACACACAAAAAGAAAAAGCAAATGGATGAAACCAGGCATGGAAAGTAGCTACGGATGGTAAACAAGAGTTGAGTAGGTGACAGAAAATGCTGTGATGACAAAAGTCTGAATCTCTACAGCACAGACACGCACTAGCTTTTGGTTGTTATGGCAGCTACAGTTTGTTTCTTTAAGACTGGGTCTCACATTTGTAGCCCAGGCTGGGCTCAAATTAGTGGTAATCCTTTTGCCTCGGCCTCTTGAGTTCTGGGACTAAAGGTAAGATGGTCACCATTCCCAGATAAATATTAGCACTTAGTATTTAATTACGTCCAAGTATTTACTGAAAATCCACAGATGTGATGTCAGGGGACAGCTATCGTGGTACCTGCCTGTTGTCCCAGCACTCAGAAAGCAGAGGCAGGAGGATTGTGGGTTAGAGGTCAGCCTGAGATACTCAGCATGATCCTGTTTCAAAAACATTAACAAGAAAAACAAACAAACAAACAAACAAACCACTAAGTCTTGTAGGTCAGGCAACTTTCACATTCAGAACGAGGGAGGGAACCATAATGTAAGGAAAACAGAGTAAAGGCTCAGACCAAGCTCCTTTGACTTTCCTCATCTCTTCCCTCTGAGATCTTAAAACAGTGAACCGACTCTACTGACACCTGAAAAGTAGAAGCATCTACGGAATGGCAGCACTAACTAGCCTGAGTGAGTTATCAAAAAAGAAAGAAAAGGAGGACATGGAGTTGGGAGGGGCTCAGTCAGGGAGGATATAGGAGAGTGGGGGGCGGTGAGAGGTTTAGATCGAGTTTCGTTGCGTGCGTGTGTGTGCGTGCGTGCGTGCGTGCGTGCGTGTGTGTGTGTGTGTGTGTGTGTGTGTGTGTGTGATTCTCAAGGATAAAGAATAATTAGTGATTCAGCTTTCAGTGATTGAGAAGAACTGGACAGGACTGAGGTGGTTCAGGGGGTCCCATGCAGGTGCTCACTACTCACCTGCACCCAATTCTAACATGAGGATTCATCTCTTCCTCTGCCAGCACCAATAAAACTAATATCCAAACCGCCAGTTCTTAAACAAGACACTCGGTTTCAAAGGAAATTAATTTTCAAAAGCATACGATGCACACAATGGCACCAAGCAAATGCTTTCTATATGCAGGAAAAGTCCAACCACAGTAAAAACGTTGATGTCAGTGTTGGGAGACGAAAGTGAAGGGAATGCTTGCTGTAAAGACACTGCGACCTGAGTCCACTTATGCATAAATAGCTCTTGGACATTTAGGAAAAGAACTAGACAGCATGCCCTTGTGGTTGGTATAGCATGTTAAAAACCACAAATCTACACCCTAACTGAATTTTGGGCAGGTTTTTGGCCCAAGTATATTGCATGTACTATTTGACACAAACTGTATTTTCAAAATGACTTATCTGAAATTCAGATTTTGACTGAGTACACTAGATTTTTTTTTCTTTTTTGCTTCATTTGCAGCTTTTCTAAATCTGATAGGCCTATCAGTTAGATACTAAAAGGATGTTCACAATATGTAAAATCTGGTCTTTATAGATTCACCTGGAATAAAAAACTTTTTCCCCTCACCTTCTACTTATTTCTAAAAGAGGGCACCAAGGAACTTAACCAGCCCACGTGGTGGGCTTCTGTTTAAAACATCTCTGTGATTATGTTTAACGTGTAATTGTGCTCGGTTTAATGTCTAACTTACACTTACAATGGATTAATATTTATGAAATACTAAATTTTTAAGACAATGAAAAAGGACTACAGAATCATTAAAAGTTACTTCAGGAATAATTTCAGTGACTGCCCTTTTCATTCAAAGGGCAGGGAAACAGTTAAGGCACTTACTGTAATATTCTGTCTGCTAGTTAATGCAGATCTAAATCTTAAAATTCAAGTTTGTTGGCACTTAGCAAACCAATGACAAAGTCACCAGATACAACATGTAAATGAAAGAAAAATTAAAAACTATATACAAACTTGTTTGAAGAAAAAAAAAACTATCAAGTATGACCACTGTTTTAAGGAAAGTAAATAATAACTTGCTTCCTAGGGGGTAAAAAATATCTTCAATTACATTAGAATATTGGGAATCACTCAATTTTCTAATACTCACACCACTTAAGAGATAATGGGGGGGGGGGCGGAAAGAAGACACTAACAGACCAGTTAAGTCTTCCCAGGAGACTAGAAAGCCATTCATTCATATGCTGCCTTCAGGTCACGAGGGAGCTGCATGCCACTGTGTCACCTGGAACAGTCTGGGTGCTGGGGGCCCGGAGCAGCAGATGAAGAAACAATGCAATGTGACATTCTAGGCTGGCCCCTCAGTACCAAACATAAGAGTGTGAGTGACACCAAACGGATTTAAACTCACAATCCCCAGAGAAACCAGAGGTGGGCAAATCTACAGTCTGCCTTACGTATGAGTTGCTTAGGTCACGGGACAAGGCCGCCACCTTAGTGAGGATCTGGCAAGCCTGGTGGTAAGGTAGACTGCGGCACTGTGATGCTTGTTCGCGGACAGCATGCCACAGACGCATTCCACTGGGGGCACCCCTTTGGGACGCAGCACTCTGCAATTCTGCACCACAATGCTCCCACGAAGGAGGCAGGAAGCTGCCCAGGTCTCCTGCTACTTCTCCTTTAAAATGAAGGCAAAGCTCGCAGCTGTGTTAGCTCACACAGGCTGGGCCACCATTAAAAAGGGAGGGAAAGGTACTGTGTACTCGCCACATCTGTAGCTCTGAACTCTGCTGCAGAGACGACACCTGCTATGCGGGAGAGAAGGGCTGTTCTTCGGCTACAGCATCTGCAACTCAACATTGTGCCACGGCAGGGTTAATCACAAACTCTTCCAAACCTCTCAATACGGCACCGCACCAAGCAGCGAGTTCATGCAATGGAATCCTAACCAAAACCGACTCACGGCAGAAAGATGCCCCTAGAACACACGGAGTGAAGCGCTTCTAACGCCTCAACTTTACTCTCTTAATAACCAGAACTTGTACGATACGCATATTTACCACGTGCATGTTCTGTTCTATAGCTAAATAATCTATTCATTATTTACATGCATATAACACGAACCACCACAGAGATTGGAAGGATTAATATTTTAATTTCTTTTAGTATGTACATTTACCCAGCTGCACAGATCCAATAGAACGGATAATGGTGACAGCCAAGTGAACAAACCTTCTTAGGCCAATATAGACAATGTGTATATAGATACGGAATGGAAAGTCTGAAGGACTTACTTGCTACTCCTGATGCCAGTCCATACAGTAGTCCTCCTCCATCCGACTGCGGAGGGAAAACGTGGCTTCCGGGTGGAGGGGGCTTTTCTTGTCTGATAAAGTTGTAAAGTAAGGTTTTCACAAGTTTGCTGGTGTAAGGGAGACTACACAGAAAGGAAGGGAAAAAAAAAAAAAAATCAAACTCCTGTTCTTGGGAGACCCCTAATTCTGCATAACAACACAGAAATATGTCTGCCATTAATCCTACTCAAGGAATATGGCAGCATCACACACTTGACTCAAGCCTCGACACTGGTGTGGCCTCTTATCATGACAGAAGGCATGAGTCAAATCATTAAAACGCAAGCATCTGTTGCCTTATTTGTAATTTACATAAAATTGCAAGCAATTATAAATTCAGTGGATAATACAGAATATTCTGTATTGAAGAAAGGTTGTAATGTAAAAGTCGGCAGAGAAATGTAAGAATTAAATGGCAATAAGACTTATTTTTTAAGAATCAAACTCCAGTTACCCAATTATAGGTGGTAAAGTAATTTCTATAATCTCTAGTCAACTTATAGATTCTTGTATGTATTATCGATGACCATGGCTTCTAAGATAAACCACAAGAACAGGATAAGAATATTCGGTTTGAGTACCTGACATTATAATGATACTATAAAAACCTAAGGACTTAGAAACTAAGATTACTAACATCATCTATGAAAAATGCAACTGTTATACTTTTACCACTGTAGGAAATAAATTGTCAGTCAAAAGCCCTAACATGTCAGACATTACCTCCAGGCCAGGGCACTCCATCCCTGTTAGAGGATTTAGATAGGAAGGACTCTGCTCCCCATTCCTGTCAGTGAATTCCACATGTTCTGCTAAGCATCCAGTCTCGTCAGTCTCTTCTGTAATTCATATTGGAGTTTAACCCTCAATCTGAGGCAGGAAGATGGTGGGAACTAAAACTCACTATGGTGTTTGGCAGTGGAGCCCGGAGGTTAGGTCAGAAGGTAAGTGTGGAGCTCACCCACGGACTGGCTTGTCTCTTGCTGCACAATGCCCTGTGATACATACACGTGGGTCTCTTCTAGTAAGAAGACGATAACCAGACACAGCACTAAACTTCGACACCAGAGTCTCTTCTTTGTGTGACTACCCAAAGGGCGCTACAAGAGCCCGAGAACATACGACAGGGGTAACCATGGCAACCTCGGCAGCCAGGAGAGCTCAGTGAAGACAACGCTCCTCTTTGCTGACCACAACCTTCACTCACTTGGCAAGTACTCTGCCCACAGCCATGTCCCCAGAACTACTGTGCAAACTTCAACAAAACCTAACTTTTTTTCAAGACATGCTTGATTTAAAGCTTTTTGAAAGTTGTGCCAACAGAAAGGCAGGGTGTTATGTTTATCCATATTCCCATAAGCATCTGCTAAGGAGCTGAGCTCTGAAGCCCAGCACGTGTTTAGCATATAATAAATAGATACTCAGTAAATTATGACAGTGAAGAGGCTGCTGGCAGTGTCTAAATAAAAGGTGACGGCTCAGATCACAGAGGTCAGCCCTTCCAATTCCAAAGTACCATAGCCTCAGATTCTGCATTCACCATTTCAGCCAGTCACAAATTCAAAATATTCAGTAAAAAAAAAAAACCTAATCTATACTGAACTTTATCATTATTTTCCAAACAACGCAGTGTGTCAGTCATTGATAAAGCATTCACACTGCATTAAGAACTATATGTCATCTAAAGCACACGGGAGGACGTGCCAGGATCATGGACTGTGTGTTTTAGGCTCTGGCAGGTTTTGGTGTTCTCAGCTGGTTCCCGCCCAAGGGACAACTGTAGATTCAAAGGAACAAGTAAAGAGAAGGAGGTTCAAGAACAGTTTGAATAAGCAAGTAGGACTTCATACCTGCTCACAGAGAAAGAAGGAAGGAAGTGAGAAAAGACATCACGCAGTCTACAAAACAATCAGACGCACTAATGAAGCCGGGGAAAACGGCAGACAGGACAGACAGAGTGGACAAGAACCACAATTTGGCCTCGTGTCGTGTTGGATAATAACAACAGGACAATCTAAAGAAATGTCAGGTTGGTGAAAGGCCTACACTCGGGTGAGAAGACAATGCTAGAAATAACAGATTAAGTATCACAGTGGTTTGCTTGTCCTTAAAAAGGGCAACTTTAAAGTTGAACATACCAGGGGCCTTGCATCAGATACTTGTGACTGATGCTCTGTCGCAACACCTCCTTGTGAAAGAGCTGGCAGGAAAGGAAGACAACCATGGCCGAGATCGCCTCCACCGATATCTCATACGTAATATCTCTGAGGGCATGGGGGAGACAGAGTAATCAATGATCAGTCCGGAAGGTTAAAATACTGCTCTTCCCACAGAAACTGTACATTGAAAAGTCAAAACTACATCTTCAAGTTTGTCACGTTAGCTAAAAAAAAAAAAAAAAAACACTTCACATAAAAATTAAGTCAAGCCAGGTGGTGGCTGGTGATGTACACTTTTAATCCCAACACTCAGGAAGCAAAGGCAGGCAGATCTCTGTAGGTTCAAGGTCAGCCTCATCTACAGAGCTAGTTGTAGGACAGCCAAGGGTACAAAAAGAAACCCTATCTCAAAAAACTAAATAAAATAAATAAATTGATTAAATTAAGTCAGACCGAAATGTTACACCCCTTCCCAGTCATTAATTCCTATGTTTAGACCTACAATCTCTTTATTTTCCTACTTTCCAGTGCCCATGTCCTACTAGTCTGCTGGTGGATGGTAACAACAGGGTTCTTCTCTGAAGATCTGCTTTAACTTCTGTGCTTATCTCTAACACACATACAGACACAGGACACACAGACACCTACATACAGACACAGGACACACAGATGCACATACACACACATATACAGACACAGGACACACACAGACACCTACATACACACACACATACATACAGACACAGGACACACAGATGCACATACACACATACAGACATAGACACACACACAGACACACACAGACTCGCACACACACATACACACACACAGGACACAAAGACATGCACACCAAAAAAAAAAAATAGAAAGTATATTTCTTTATTTTTGTTAAGAACTGCACTGACTTTATTTCCCAGAACCATAGGATGGTTTCCAATTGCCTGTCACTCCAGCTCCGTGGGATTTAATGCTATGTCTGGCCTCATGGGCACTGCAATCCTGTCTCCAGTACACAACCCCACCCACCCACAAATATAAATGTATTTTTTAATTAAAAATAAAACATTTGGGTTTTATGGGGTTTGTTTTGTTTTGGTTTTTTGAGACAGAGTTTCTCTGTATTGTTTTTGGAGCCTGTCCCAGGACTCACTCTGTAGACCAGGCTAGCCTTGAACTCACAGAGATCTACCTGCCACTGCATCCCAAGTACTGGGACTAAAAGTGTGCACCACAAACACCCATTTTTTTGTTTTGTTTTGTTTTTTAAGGAATTACAAAAAAAGTAAACATATATACGCAAAAAACCGCCAAACAATAATAAATGGCCAATCAATCATCTGAGGCACACAGTTTTCAGAGGAAATAAATGACAAAAAAAATGTTAAAGTGTTGAATATCTCTAACCAACCAGCAGACAAAAGTGAATTAAAACTACTTTGAGATTCCCTCTCACCCCACTTACAATGGCCAACATCAAGGAAACTAAAGACATCAGATTCTCCTGGGCAAAGACACTGATAATGGAGTGTGAACCAGTGAAGCCGTTGTGGGAATCAGTGTGGTGGCTTCTCAAACAGTGGACGACAACTACTATGCCAGAGCTATCCAGCCCTGGGCATATTCCCAAAGGATGGACTCTACAGCCCGCCAGAGCTCTTCTAATTTTAGCAAGGCCACGGGATCAGCCGACGGTCCATCAACAGACAGGCGAATGATGAAAATGTGGTACACACTTTTCATGTAAAACATTTTTACAAGTCTGAAGCTTTTCATGGGAAATCCAAAGAAAGGTACTGGGGAGCTACTAAATGGCAGTTCATTAAGCATCTAAGATAACGGGCTCTCGACCAGACAAGTCTAAACGGAACCAGCTATTTTAAGGAGACACCACTGGTACAGATACATTTTAGAAACAAAAGACTGAGGCAAGAAGTCAACTGGTCAACTTAGCAAGATCCTGTCTCAGAAGTTACGGGAAGGAGAGCATACTAGTGACACAGCTCAGTGATAGAGCACTTGACCAGCATGCGAGAGGCCCTAGGTTCAATCCCCAGTACTGCAATGCATACATATTCACACACACACACACACACATATATATGCATACATATATACACACACACATATATGCATACATATATACACACATACATATACACACATGTACATATATACATATATACACACACGCATATAAACACATACATGCACATACATAGACACACACATAATACATACATGCATACATACATAAGCCCACATACACACCAAAACACAAGTTCACATTCTCACACACATACACATGCACATACATGCATGCGCGCGCGCGCACACACACACACACACACACACACACACACACACACACACCCCTCCTATGGCTACAGCTCACTGACACAGTACTTGTTCATCTTGTTAAGACCCTAATCCAGAAAAAAACACAGACTCACACATGAAGAAATTTTTTTAGAGAGGTTGAAAAGAAAAAGAAAACATCTGGAAGCCACCCTCTCACTTTGCACTTAGGTCTAGGGATTTGGGACTGGTCAAGTGAGAAGTACACAAGTGTGCCAGACCACTTGCTTTCTGGAGCTTTCTGGAGCTTTCTTTACCTCACTTGGAAAAACCTGGACCCATGTTTCCTTTCACACTTCCTAATTCATGAGTCGGTAGTAAAATAAAGTCCTTGGGGGGAGGGGAGAGACGGGGAGGAGGAGGGAAAGAAGGAGGAGGGGTGAAGAGAAGGGAGGTAGGGGAGGAGGGAGAGGGGAGGAGGGAGAGGGGAGGAGGGAGAGGGCAGCAAGGCCTAATAGGTCAGTAATGCTTAGCATTTAGGAGGTAAGGCCAGAGGACCAGTAGTTCAAGGTCATCAATGGCTACAGCAAGCTTGAGGCTAGCCTGGGCTACATTAGACCATGTCACAACAGAGAGGGAAAATAAACAGTATACCAATGCATGGCTGCCCACGTCTATACTCTCAGCAAAGACATTTCCTTAATTACTGCTATAAATTATCTTGTGTCTATTTCTCGTTTCTTTTTTCTTTTTGAGACAGGGTTTCTCTGTGTATACCTGGCTGTTCTGAGCCTTGCTTTGTAGACCAGGTTGGCCTTGAACTCAAAGACCCACCTGCCTCTGCTTCCTAAGTGCTGGGATTAAAGGTGTGCACCACCAGGCCAGGCTATTTCTCATTCCTTGAACTGAATGAAAAATAAGCCAGTCACTAACAACTCACCTTTGATGGCACAGGTGACCAGATAGGATTCTACTCACAATAGTCATTAATTTAAAGGGCCCAGGCCTGTCAGGAACACATACTCACTAGACAGTCTTGTGGGCCGGCATGTGGAAAAGTCCAAGGGCAAAGAGCTAAATGAGGTCTCCTGTCACCAGCTAGCAAGGAAGAGAGGCCCCCACTCCAGCAGTGCTGCGAGAAGGAAACCCTGTCAACGCCCAACGTCAGCTTTAGGAAGCCCTCCCCCACTTGAAGCCTCAGACATCACGGCCCTGACCACAATCCCTTGATGTATGAGTCACAAGTAACAGGTTGAGCTCTACTCAGACCTCTGAGGAAATAAAAGTTGCTCAATAATAGTGGATGTTTAAACAGCTAATGCTTGGATCGTTATTGGACTTTTTTTGAGACTAGGATTCATCATATAGCCTAGGCTAACCCTAAACTCACTATATATCCTAGGCTAGTCTCAAATTCACTGTGATCCTTCTGCCTCAACCCCTCAAATACTGAGATTACAGGCATGCACAGTGTGCCCAGGCAGGGTCATTCTTACCCAGAAATAGAGCAATGACGCAGAGACATGGGTAATTTACAGGAAGGTAAGCTGCAGGCAGTCTGGGTGTGGACTGCTGCTGGTGTAATAAACGCAGGAGGTGCTTACATACATTAAGCAGCTTCTAATGCCACAGAGCAGACGTTCATTTCACAGCACAGTAAGATGCTGTTCTGTAAGGAAAAGGGGGTGAGGGAAAACACACAAAATGTATCTTTCTGACATTCACTCCGAATACATACGCAAGGACCCTGTTCGGATAGGGCAAACCGACTCTCCATTAACAGCTCCGGGACTTGCTCTTGCTGCCAGAGCTGCCATGAGAAAAACAGCCAGAAAGGCCAGCCCTGGACCAGCACCAGCCGCCTTCAATGTGCCACACTAGCCTTGCCACAACTATGGCCAAGACTGCAGCCGGTGCACTGGTTGCTGGGTGCCAGGCCCCCAGTCGGGGCTATTGAAACAGTTTGTAGTAGCTGTGCAACCACAAGTGTGATGAGCCACTTCTCCCAGCAAGGACAGCACCTGCCCTGATGGAGGGTCCACTGTGAGTGCTGGCGAGGCCAAGAGTGGACAAAAGACAGGCTTTGATGACTGTAGAGCCAGAGGTAAAGCTGGGATTGGCCCAAGCACCCCTGCTCAGCTACCTAAGCAAGCTCGCTCTTTCCCATGCTGTCCCCCTGGTGTCATATCGGGTCCGTACTCTGGAGTGGTATTTCCTGCCCACTTTCTGTAGCGCAGGCTAAACTAGTAGCAGCGGGGATAGCACAGGGCAGAGCTATCACTGAGGGCAGTAGCAGCAAGTCTGGCACCCCGGACTCGACAGCTAAAGAACATACAGGTGGGCAGAATCCCAACAGGTCCGGTACTAGGAATCTGCATCACCCAAGGCAGTCCCTGCTAAGCTCAAAAGCATCCACCAATGGCTTGGCAATAAAAGAGGCTGAGTAGTCTCAGGACCCCAGGCTGGTATCTTGTCTCCCTCAGCCAGTACGGCTCTCTCAAACAGCTCACCTGCCAGCCACGCCCAGGTCTCCAGCCTGGCTTCCCAAGGCACAGGCTCCTGCCAGAACACTGAAGAAGCTACTGAGACCTTGCAGCAACTGCTCTAGGCCTGATCTTCCCGTAGACAGGCACTGACATCCCAGATGTGTGTGTGTGTGGTGGGGGGACACCTGCACCTGAGCCATCCCTGCTTAGGCCACGCCCAGTTCCCCGAGAAGCTCCCAAGGAGCCCCAGTCCTCCACTGAATGGTGTCCCAGCAGGAAGACGAACCGTCGACCGAAGGAGCACTGAACAATTCCACCACAGCC